AATACAGTTTTCTACTCATTTGGAAATAACAAAAAACACATTTGTTATTAACTTTCTGGTCAATGTTGTATTTACTTGAAACTATAAAGTCCAACCTTGGCATTGACACCTAAACAACAACCTGTGGTTTTGAACCCTTTAGAAATGTCGCCTTATTTGAATTAAGTGCTGCTGATAAGTGAATTCCAGGGAACGTAATGGCCCAATTTAACCATAATCGTGCATTGATAACTTCTATTGACCTCATCAGCAGAAGTGGTTGTCATGTCTGACAGCACCTCAAGCCAGAGTTGTATCACCTCCGGAATCCCGACCAAGAAGTTCTGATGGATCATTAGATGCCAGTCTTATACAGCTTTCTTTCATAGCCGGGCTCCATATCCGCTTTTCCAATAGGTCTTAGCCTCGGCAAATAAAGCACAATATGGAAAGAGCTGAGACAGAATTTGTAGTACATGTACGAGTCATCGGAACCTTTTCCTCCACATGGTGACGCCGACTGAATTATGTAACCGGGTACCCAGTTAGACATTGTCGAACCTCCGTATCACCGACATGGTATTGCTACTGAGTGTCAGCAATCCATCAAACAACTATGACCGCATACAGAGTTATCTGACACCAACTCGGAGAGGTCAGGCTTAAAAATCATACATCGAGACTGATCCCATCGATATTTTTTAACCCCGATATTTTACAACCAGACTAACATCATGAGGGCGCCGGTGCCATAGGTTGGCACAAACTGATCTGGTATTCAATATACACAGGTCGACCTTATCAGCCATGTCACCGTCGGCACTAATTCACCTACCATCCATAGACACGAGTGTTCCGACTAATAACAGATCACAAATAGTGCGCAGTACCATGTTCCCAGGCATTTAGTTGCTCGGACTGTAATGCTGTCGAATCCAAGCAGTAATTCAGAAACAAGAATAAATGGACATGGCTGTCAAAAATTTTCAATTTGGCGACTGCGCTGACTCCACAACTGTGCTGTAAATTAACATAACCTGAACATTTGCCGTCCCGAAGTCGGTTTTGTGTCATATCACCATTCCCAAAACTAACACCTGTGTACATACAGACTTTTGTCTTCTTCGTAATAACGATAACAACCACTTTGATAGTACAAAAATCGTATCATGTACACGGCCTTAAATCGGACAATATTTGGGTAGCCTGCCCTACAACGCACAGTTAAACGGTGTTCTTAGTTATATTCGAAATTCATTTCTCTTGGTGTAATCAACGTCTTTTGATATGCGGTTAAATAAAAGTAGCAAAATAAAGTTTCAGACCAATTGTTAGGACGGATATCCGCATTGCAAACGTAAGTATATCTCTCACGTACTTTGCACGAACCCCTAGATTGTTAGGCCAGTTTAAAAACCCATTCAGAAAAAAAGCTTACACTAAGATCAGATGGGTAGATTGACTAGACTACTTTGTCATACCACAGGGCTGATATTTCTTATTAATAATAAGGGCTTAGAAGAAAACAACGCAAACATGCACCAACTTCTCTAGGAGTCCAACCGCTATTGTTTACTTCTGAAATAGAACTGCTTGGTAAGTGCGATGAGAAGTATTTCAGTTAACTCGTAAGCAAGTCCAATGAAGTACAAGTCAATCAATTATAGATAACACATTTATTCTGAGAAGTAGTTTCAATGAGAAATATGAGCAAAGTAAACAAAATTCTGCAATCAGGTGCACACAAAATTGATTTCATCAAATGGCAATCAGTGAACATTTGAGATTGCCATCGTCATATAGCGAGAATTTGTTCAAAGCATCTAACATTGCAAACGAAAGTATATCTCTCACGTACTTTGCACGAACCCCTAGATTGTTAGGCCAGTTTAAAAACCCATTCAGAAAAAAAGCTTACACTAAGATCAGATGGGTAGATTGACTAGACTACTTTGTCATACCACAGGGCTGATATTTCTTATTAATAATAAGGGCTTAGAAGAAAACAACGCAAACATGCACCAACTTCTCTAGGAGTCCAACCGCTATTGTTTACTTCTGAAATAGAACTGCTTGGTAAGTGCGATGAGAAGTATTTCAGTTAACTCGTAAGCAAGTCCAATGAAGTACAAGTCAATCAATTATAGATAACACATTTATTCTGAGAAGTAGTTTCAATGAGAAATATGAGCAAAGTAAACAAAATTCTGCAATCAGGTGCACACAAAATTGATTTCATCAAATGGCAATCAGTGAACATTTGAGATTGCCATCGTCATATAGCGAGAATTTGTTCAAAGCATCTAACATTGCAAACGAAAGTATATCTCTCACGTACTTTGCACGAACCCCTAGATTGTTAGGCCAGTTTAAAAACCCATTCAGAAAAAAAGCTTACACTAAGATCAGATGGGTAGATTGACTAGACTACTTTGTCATACCACAGGGCTGATATTTCTTATTAATAATAAGGGCTTAGAAGAAAACAACGCAAACATGCACCAACTTCTCTAGGAGTCCAACCGCTATTGTTTACTTCTGAAATAGAACTGCTTGGTAAGTGCGATGAGAAGTATTTCAGTTAACTCGTAAGCAAGTCCAATGAAGTACAAGTCAATCAATTATAGATAACACATTTATTCTGAGAAGTAGTTTCAATGAGAAATATGAGCAAAGTAAACAAAATTCTGCAATCAGGTGCACACAAAATTGATTTCATCAAATGGCAATCAGTGAACATTTGAGATTGCCATCGTCATATAGCGAGAATTTGTTCAAAGCATCTAACATTGCAAACGAAAGTATATCTCTCACGTACTTTGCACGAACCCCTAGATTGTTAGGCCAGTTTAAAAACCCATTCAGAAAAAAAGCTTACACTAAGATCAGATGGGTAGATTGACTAGACTACTTTGTCATACCACAGGGCTGATATTTCTTATTAATAATAAGGGCTTAGAAGAAAACAACGCAAACATGCACCAACTTCTCTAGGAGTCCAACCGCTATTGTTTACTTCTGAAATAGAACTGCTTGGTAAGTGCGATGAGAAGTATTTCAGTTAACTCGTAAGCAAGTCCAATGAAGTACAAGTCAATCAATTATAGATAACACATTTATTCTGAGAAGTAGTTTCAATGAGAAATATGAGCAAAGTAAACAAAATTCTGCAATCAGGTGCACACAAAATTGATTTCATCAAATGGCAATCAGTGAACATTTGAGATTGCCATCGTCATATAGCGAGAATTTGTTCAAAGCATCTAACATTGCAAACGAAAGTATATCTCTCACGTACTTTGCACGAACCCCTAGATTGTTAGGCCAGTTTAAAAACCCATTCAGAAAAAAAGCTTACACTAAGATCAGATGGGTAGATTGACTAGACTACTTTGTCATACCACAGGGCTGATATTTCTTATTAATAATAAGGGCTTAGAAGAAAACAACGCAAACATGCACCAACTTCTCTAGGAGTCCAACCGCTATTGTTTACTTCTGAAATAGAACTGCTTGGTAAGTGCGATGAGAAGTATTTCAGTTAACTCGTAAGCAAGTCCAATGAAGTACAAGTCAATCAATTATAGATAACACATTTATTCTGAGAAGTAGTTTCAATGAGAAATATGAGCAAAGTAAACAAAATTCTGCAATCAGGTGCACACAAAATTGATTTCATCAAATGGCAATCAGTGAACATTTGAGATTGCCATCGTCATATAGCGAGAATTTGTTCAAAGCATCTAACATTGCAAACGAAAGTATATCTCTCACGTACTTTGCACGAACCCCTAGATTGTTAGGCCAGTTTAAAAACCCATTCAGAAAAAAAGCTTACACTAAGATCAGATGGGTAGATTGACTAGACTACTTTGTCATACCACAGGGCTGATATTTCTTATTAATAATAAGGGCTTAGAAGAAAACAACGCAAACATGCACCAACTTCTCTAGGAGTCCAACCGCTATTGTTTACTTCTGAAATAGAACTGCTTGGTAAGTGCGATGAGAAGTATTTCAGTTAACTCGTAAGCAAGTCCAATGAAGTACAAGTCAATCAATTATAGATAACACATTTATTCTGAGAAGTAGTTTCAATGAGAAATATGAGCAAAGTAAACAAAATTCTGCAATCAGGTGCACACAAAATTGATTTCATCAAATGGCAATCAGTGAACATTTGAGATTGCCATCGTCATATAGCGAGAATTTGTTCAAAGCATCTAACATTGCAAACGAAAGTATATCTCTCACGTACTTTGCACGAACCCCTAGATTGTTAGGCCAGTTTAAAAACCCATTCAGAAAAAAAGCTTACACTAAGATCAGATGGGTAGATTGACTAGACTACTTTGTCATACCACAGGGCTGATATTTCTTATTAATAATAAGGGCTTAGAAGAAAACAACGCAAACATGCACCAACTTCTCTAGGAGTCCAACCGCTATTGTTTACTTCTGAAATAGAACTGCTTGGTAAGTGCGATGAGAAGTATTTCAGTTAACTCGTAAGCAAGTCCAATGAAGTACAAGTCAATCAATTATAGATAACACATTTATTCTGAGAAGTAGTTTCAATGAGAAATATGAGCAAAGTAAACAAAATTCTGCAATCAGGTGCACACAAAATTGATTTCATCAAATGGCAATCAGTGAACATTTGAGATTGCCATCGTCATATAGCGAGAATTTGTTCAAAGCATCTAACATTGCAAACGAAAGTATATCTCTCACGTACTTTGCACGAACCCCTAGATTGTTAGGCCAGTTTAAAAACCCATTCAGAAAAAAAGCTTACACTAAGATCAGATGGGTAGATTGACTAGACTACTTTGTCATACCACAGGGCTGATATTTCTTATTAATAATAAGGGCTTAGAAGAAAACAACGCAAACATGCACCAGCTTCTCTAGGAGTCCAACCGCTATTGTTTACTTCTGAAATAGAACTGCTTGGTAAGTGCGATGAGAAGTATTTCAGTGAACTCGTAAGCAAGTCCAATGAAGTACAAGTCAATCAATTATAGATAACACATTTATTCTGAGAAGTAGTTTCAATGAAAAATATGAGCAAAGTAAACAAAATTCTGCAATCAGGTGCACACAAAACTGATTTCATCAAATGGCAATCAGTGAACATTTGAGATTGCCATCGTCATATAGCGAGAATTTGTTCAAAGCTCAAAAGTTCCATTGATCACTTCTTTTCTAAAAGCTCTATGATATCTCCTACAATATCCTACAAAAAAATCAAAAGTTCGGTCAGAAATCCCAAAACTGAAAGGTGATTACTAATCGATAAAACTGTTTCATAAATTTGGTCACTATTAGACATTAAGCATCATAATTGGAACTAACCACCTAATACGGCAGACGGTCAAAATCAAGGAATTGTTTGGTATGGACATACACCAGCTCAATTTCCCACACTCCATATCAGTATTACAAACTACAGAATCAACGCTATGTGAAGTACAGTGCATTAAAGATGTATTACAAATAGAAAAGGTGAGATTGGAGAAAGATAATTTACGGATGCCAGACAAGAAGTGGGTTACTCTACGCAATCATAGCTTGCGATTATCTCGCCATTATCAATCAATAAGTCTGCCCCAAAAGACACAAGGCAGGTAAATGAAGAGAAAAAAATCACTTGTAATAAGTTAGATCTACAATATATATGAATTACGTAGTGTGAGGAAACTAGATATTCCCAACCCTTGAATTCTGCAGTAGTCGAGGATTCCACTATTGCTTGACACAAATTGTGCTTGGATTGATACATGGTTCAATAACCGCTACACACCCAAGTGCTAAACGCGTTAACCGGTGTCACTAAACCAGGAAATGGAAAGATGAAGACTGCCATACAGAAACTTTGTACGCTCCCACGAAAACTGTAATTATTATACCTAGTGCTTGTAGTACACTGATGTACAACTAATTGCAGACCATTACAAGGCGATATACAAGTTTTTGAGAAAAATCAAACATTAAATGAACTAGTTCTATAGACGTAGCAGTTAACTAAGATCAGTCCAAACAGTCACGAGTGTGGACATCTATTAACCTAATAGTGTTGTTGACGAAAATGACTGTCACATTGGAGACCAAGACATACAAAACTTAAATGACAATATTGTGAATTAACGTTACTCAGTAAAGACACGAAGGTTCGTTCCTGAAGTTCTAGTTTCTTCGGTACAGATAACTATTTCATAACTGAGCCGGGAAAACGTTTGGTCTATGACGTCATATAGTGCAATGTAAGATAGTTAACTTAAACTCGAATTTCATTCATGAAGTTTGACATGACCAATAACTGAAATATGCAGCGATGGACTTTATTTCACGTACCATAAAACTAACAAGTAACTAAAGTTGATGTTTCATTTTGTCATTCATGACAATTAACCGGTAACTTTATCAACATGTACCGGCTGTGAGGTAATATGCTGTGTCCAGATTGGTTTTTTGACGTATAACCACTATTGAGGTGAGACTAGTTTGGAAACGAATTGATGTAATCATCTAAACAACTAATGTATAGAGAGATCACTAACCAGCTAAATATTCAAATGGGTAAAATTTCCTAGTGGCATCTTCAAATCTACAGGAACTATAGGTTACGTGACGTAACATAACGACATTACTTGCGATCAACCAGGCGGAAGCAATAACTAAGGTTCAATTGTGAATATTTCGCTCCTCAATTTCTGATGTTAGCATATATTACTAATGTTTGTTTTCACACAAATTTCTCGTGACGCACATTATATGGTGACCTTAAGTGATTTGTTTATGAGCCACGTTTTACGTCTGCACGTCATTAGTTGGGAGGAAGCTAACGCACCCATTAAGTGATTGAAAGTTACATACCTAAGAAATAACACAACAAAATACTTAGACAATTAAGAAAAAATCGAAGTGTTTGGGGTGGATTGCTGATTTCATCAATTTATCTTAAGTTACGTCTATCTATTTAGACAGTCAAAACTGATAACTAAATAGAAATATTGAAAATTCAGCAACTCACATTTGGGGCAGTTGTAGGAGAATATCTTTTAACCGGTTGGCCTTGACGATCTATAAGGAATTTAGAGAAGTTCCACTTAATACCACTACGACATTAATAAAGAAAAAAACAATTACTTTGTTAGGGTGCCATGTAGTCTACTTTTAAGAAATTTGTAGAGGTCATCAGCGTCAGACCCATTGACTCTTATCTTGGAAAACATATCGAATTGGACTCCATACTTCTCAGTCACAAACTTCTTAATCTCCGATTCCGCCCAGGGTTCCTGCAAATAACATTGGTTTAAGTGTTACATACCTGTCCGCCGAATTGGTTGCAGGGGAACGCTAATATACGGAGGCCTTTGCCAACCAGTCGAGTGTGCATCTCCTGGAGTTGGCGATAGTTCTTGTCCGTTGCGCCTCACTTACAAGCAACGTTAACAATTAGACAAACGTGACCACTAAACAACGAATAATTATCATTCTATATACAAGAAGAATATCGAACAAACCGGTATTTCTCTAAGGAGACATCCACACCATTGATATCTTTGACAGTGAATTCATATATTGAATTCCAAGACTTGTGAGATGAAGACTTAAGGAAGAAATGAGAGAGACCACAACGTACCATCACAGCACATCCAGTCGCAAACAATGATTTGGGAGGTTTGAATAAGGCGCGACAAAACATCGTTGAGCCGGTCTTCAAGTGTTCCAAATGATTGTGAACGGAATTGAAGCAGATTTCAATTTACGAGCCTCCTTGACCTGTAGCACCCCAGGCTATCACCCATAGAAGTGCATAAAGCGCCGACCAGAGTTCTAACACCAACTCTGTGCTGTGTTCTCCTTCCAACTTGTTTACCAGTGGTATTTGTGGCCTCAATCTTAGTCTCTGATTTTCGCTGTCATGTGCTTTGTGATTTGCCCGGTTCATTAATGCCGTGGGGATTGAGTCACTACTTGCTTTGTGATGAGTTAATGGTTTGAGCAAAGTGTGTCCTGTCCACACACAGAGTCTTTTCCTAACCTCCTACATTGGCAGTTGGATTGTCCTCCTCTGCGAGTAAATATCGATCGTCCTTACTAAGTCAATTTGACGTAATTTGCGTAGATGGTTGTTTATAAATACCTGGAAATTTTGACGATAATTGTGGTAGGCATACAAGTTTCTGTCCCGTTCAACCGAACAGTTTCAACGTCTGCATTGTCAGCTGCGATTCTGATCCCCAGTGACGATTCGTTAGTTTTTCAAGTATTCTCTTTTTTTGCTTTGGCAAATTTTACATTCGGATCTTCATTGGATTCCTTTTGTTTATCAGCGACTCTGACTGTGTATGTCAAGGCTTCAATGACTTCCAAATCTTCCACATCAAATTTGACGTGGTTGGTGATTACTGTATTTTATTTCAAGATCCCGACTTTCTCTTTTAAATGTTGAGTTCTACTGAAGGAGAAGCCGTTGCTTCATAAGCTGCTTTCATCTGCATTTATTGCCGTGTGTCAGAAAGTAGGTTTAAGTCACCTGTGGTGGCATAACCGTCCAGCTGTGTATCAAGTTGCACACCATATTCGTGCTTGTCCGAAAATGTGAAGGTATTGAGAAGAGGCAGGTCACTACTCAAAATGAATCTGCACACCGCCATCCATATGCGAATTCGCGCGGCAATTTGCAGTAGGAGTTCCGTATGGTTGCCGCGATCTTATCGGCTACTGCATAGTAGTGTCCTATCATAATCAGACTTTTTAGTATGATGATGTATTCCAACAAAACCATTGTGCACCAATGACCAACAGTGTTGCTTTTTGTTAAGTAATTGATCTGTCTTTGCGAAAGCTAGCCTAGTGATCCTAAAGTCGGACGTGTACTGAAACTTCCATTCTGTTTGTTGACACTTTTGAAAGTACTGTGGTGACTTTTGAATAACACTGAATGCTCACCATAAATGGCTCGGCCGCTCGGGCTTGTTCATCTGAACTATTTTGCTTTGTGTCCGCAATACACATATCTTTATGTTGGCATGATACTATTCGTTCTTAAGACGTTCCTGTACATGGGCCATACCAACTTCTATGAGGAGAAAAAGTCAGGATTACAGTGTTGTGACTTATAGTTAGTGTCAAGTAGATTCGGTCGTCTTATAGTTAGTCCGTAGTATTAGGTTAGATTTACTAATCTGTAAGATTAAGTTAATGTACGAATATAGATCACAAACCTGAATACAATAATCGTTAAGGTCTTTCGCGCGTAGAATTACGGCCTACTTCGTTATTAGCACCAGTCTAATAATAGACCTAATCCTATGATTCTAGATTTGCCGTGATGTAAATGCATAATCTATGAGATCTTATGTGGAAGTCATATCACTTTCTACACTGACTCATAGTATCATAAACTCATCAACATATGATGGAGAAAACAGTTAAGTTGGAGATAGAACAATATATTCAATACAAATAAAAGTAATGTTACATGAGTATGACCACACTTTGGAGGCTGAGACAAACCATTCGAAGAATTGAATTTCGAATGAATGTTACCGCGTCCACCATTGTTGACCTCCTAGTGTCACATCTCGAAAGTCTATTTTCGCAGTTATCTCATGTTCAGCTTTGGGGATTGTGGTTATGATCCGATGCCACTACAAATTCAAGGACTCTTTTCATTTTGAAACACCAACAGTGGTCAGAAAATTATCGATTCCATCATTGGACTTTCGAAGTCTGGAATAGTCGGGCCGCATTCGAAAAATAGTTTGGTAACCGGAGAGATATCGTTCAAAACTAGCGGTATCTGCTCTCAATAACTGTGGTTACCCGAAACTTCACTTTTTGCCCATTATTAAATTACCAATTTCAAATATATGTTGCAATATATTTTACTCCTGAACCCTTTCAGTACAAACATGGGATAATATTTGAAACTATGAGAGTCAGTACCTTGCCATTTGCTAGCTATATTTATGATCTTGGTTTGCCACAATGACATTTTGGGATGCAAATGAAAATTTTTCGGGCGAATTCTAATAAGTTTCGAGCAAATACCTGATCCTAGCAAGTGATTTGACAAACAGCTCCATTTGTTAGTGCTGCAGTGTATGCTATTTATGTTAACAGATATAAGTAATATGTAACGCCAGTCGAAAGTAAAAAGTCTGTCAGCAGAGGGTTGAGATAAACATAAGAGAATAGGGACGGACTGTAATGGGTGTGGAATTGAACGAACAATAAAGTATAAGACTATTAATGGGTGTTTTGCAAATGAAGGATTGAACTTATGGTCTATACAATTATGCATCCAAATTAGTAATCCAAAAATGGCAAGGATTAAGGCAACATACATCAATTAAAATCATAGCACATGAACCTTGGATTGTTTGTGATATAAAACAAAATAAAATCCTTAATATTTGGACGACTAATATGTGGTGTGTGGCTGAATAATTTTTCACGTTAAATGGAATTGTGAGACAAATGATAAGTATAAATATGGTGGTCATTGGGTGAGAGAGATCATAATATAATTACAAATAGGAAAACAAGTAATGTGTAGAACAGCATTGACTATGTAGAAATTAGCAAGCAGGGGTGCATGTTGGATAAATGTCTCCAAACGTTGTCTAATATTACAATAATTTCAACCTTCGATCAAGAAATTGTACTATTCAAATCAAATCCAGTAGATTGCTACTATCAGATTAAGAACAGTAGATATATCTACAGAAGCATCTTAACTAAAAACACAGGGAGACCGTAGTGGCATTAAGCCCTAACATGAGACAATATGGGAAATATTCATTCAACATTTGACACTGGGAAAAACCCGACGATTATGAGGGCGGGAAAAATAAGTTGAATTAATTGATCAGATGGCATGGCTTGACCATGCAGGCGTGGTCCCTGTTGAATGTTACCTTATATCTTACAGATTAGGCAGTTATATCACGACAAATCTACAATTTTAGGATTAGGTCCATCATTAGAGCAGTACTAATATTATAGTAGACCATAATTCTACCTTGGTGAACCCGACTAAATAAACGAAACCTATTACTGTTTAGTATCCTGTAAAGACTTATTTTAATCCAGTATTCTATTGGTCCTCTGATTAATACTCGCATGTATTGTCGTAATGTTACATCCATTATTATTCATAACATAATAACTCAGTCGATACCAATAATCGGTTATCTATATCATTTAGCTTTGATGGTTCACTAACAAGCTTTAATAGCAATTACGTGCTTCTGCAGAATAAACTTGTTCAAACATCAAGCTCTATCGTGTATGATCTATAAATCACCTAAATGTGCATTGACTAACAACGTAATCAAGGACTAAACAGTTATCTTGACCTAATTTTTAGTGTTTCTTCACTTAACACTTTCTGATTCACACTATGCACTATCATATAATACCTTTTCTATCAAGTTACATTGCCAAGCAACAAGGTGATACTACTCCAAAAACATACAGTGAGTTTAAGCTATAAATTTTCTGCAATCAAAAAGTTATTTCAGATGGCTCGTTCAATGACAACTACACAATTATCTGGATTCAATCAATTGTTCTGATTTGAGTGAGTGACAAAAACGTCAACAGCACCAAGCACTCTGGAATAAATTGTCATACTGCGTGTTTTATTCTGGATGCTTTTGGATCATTACTACTCCTCATGAATGGCGTTATATATGTCGTCTACCGAATAATCTAATCTTTGAAATTATTCCAGGCGAGTTTCATGTCGTCTCTTTCTTGGTTAATTTACCACGTTTTTAGCATTTCTTAACTTACATAGATTTTTTTGTTAGTCTGCTTGTATATAGTTAATCCGAGCCACTCAAGATTTTTTTAAGAAATATTTAATTCTTTTATACTACCACATACTATTAAGAAAGCGTGTTATTTTAAAACACCTCTTATTTTTAGTTGCCTATGCAACACATTTATACATATCACTAGGTTAACGACAGCAGTTTATGGAAGGTTAATAACTCGTCATATTCCTAACTGAAATTCCATAAATCATCTGAACTTCAAAAATACAAATGCCTCACTCAAGGAGGCTAAAGAACCCATCTGTGAACAACTTAGAGAACAAGAAATAGGTACTACAATCCCTGTGGTCATCATTAAAAATTTATAACCAAAATGTACCGTGAACGTAAACTTCAAATTCAGTGGGAAAATGTGCATACAAATAGATGGTGTAGCAATGGATTCACCACTAGGTCCCATTGTAGCTTATATTTTTCCTACTAGACTAGAAAATGGTCCACTGTCACAATAAGCTGACAAGTTTTCATTTTACTGACGATATACAGACGATGCGTTTATCTTTCTTAACGACTATACTGACCTAACATAAACATTCAGGCGATTTAATGAGGTTCATAAATATATCAAAATTGATATGTGAGGAAGAAAATAGACGTGGAATGGGCTTTCTAGATTTTCTACTGACAAGGAAAAGAGATGGGTCTCTAGAAAGTAGCTTCAACAGCAAAATTACCTGGACTGGTCACTGTAAACATTTCCAGTTTTGGTTCCTTTACAATATAAAAGAGACCTGATTAAGACAGTGGACTAAAAAATCAAGACCGTGTGCTCTCTTGGTGCGGTCGACGAATAAACAAAAGCATTGCATGCTACCCGAAAAGAAAACAGATATTCAAAGTATTGTATCAGCGAACATTTACCCAAGAAACGGGCTCATAAGAAGGGTTCAACTGTGAGCAAAAACTCCCTGTATATACGCTTACAATTTGCAGATGATCCACCGAGCGAAATCATAATACCGAAGTTGCATAGAGTACTCCAAAGAATCTTTAATGTAGGTAAACTGCAATTATTGTTTTCTACACACCC